CGTTTCAAGAACTTCCGTTGATAAGACCAGCTACCAGACCATCTTGGCAGTAGAAGGCACCACGTCATACTCATGCAACCAAGGACATCCCAATAACAAGTTATAAGAGGTTTTGGCATCTATCACATGGAAAAGAGCATTTGAAGTCATCTCCCCGATTACTAACTTCAATCTAGTTATGCCTAGAGTTCGTTGCCCCCCTTGGTTAAAGTCTTGAATCATCAACCGACTATTTAAGAGTTCATCTATCGGGACCTCCAGCTCTTTTGGAGTACGCAGAGACAAAATGTTCACAGCAGAACCTCCATCTATCAATATGCGATTCACCTTTTTCTCGCGAGTGTAACCAGTTAAGAATTAAGGCCTATTATGGGGTTTTGAGCCAAACATCAAGTCTTCATCTATAAAAGTGACTGCTGCATCATTGTCTTCAGGGTCGCATCGTTCTTTTTCATCAGTCGACTCCTCATCATTTGGGACATCATCTTGCTCACTCGTCACATTACAAGCGAAACTTTCATATCCTTCCTCGCAGGTCACAATTGAAGCAAAGTTCGCAGTCCCTTTGTCTTCTTCAAGCGATATCTTGCCTTGTCGTGCCAGCTGCATAACTCTATCTTTGAAGACAAAGCAATCTTCGATGGAGTGACTCACCAAACGATGATACTTGTAGTATTTTGGATTGTCAACTTGTCCTGCTTCTTTAGGTCGTTTCATCTCCGGCAGTTCGATAAGTTGTTCTCGAATCAAGTCGTCGAAAATTCCAGAAACATCGGAGTCAAGAAAAGGATACTGTTTGGCTTGCATCTCCTTCAAGGTTAACTTTCTTTGCCCCCTATCTTGAAGGACTTCTTTCTTTTCCACAACTTTTTTCACTTGTGTTTCCCTTGAGTATGATGGGTCTTGCATTGACCGCCATTGCTTCTTTTACCTCTTCGTTAGGCGCTCTAGAGAAGAACTTGCCCCCTTTCTTGGCTTCACTTCGGTCGTTGAATCTTTGAGGCTCATGAACAGGTGGATTCTTGACTCCGCTTGCAGACATGCTTAACTCCATATCATGTGCGCGAGTGGCCAACTCTTCAAACGAATTTGGTTGAATTCCTTGTAGAAAGTATCGAAGACCCCAATGCATCCCTTGAGTACACATTTCAATAGCTGAAGCTTCAGACAGTCGATCCTTACAATTGAGGCTTAAATTTCTCCATCGGTTGATGTAGTCAATAACAGGCTCCTCATCCCACTGCTTTAAATGAGTGAGCTCAATCATGCTAACCGTCCTTTGTGTGCTGTAGAAACGATTGAGAAACTCTTGCTCTAGTTGCTCCCAGCTATCAATAGAATTTGCCTCCAAGTCTGTGTACCACTCGAACGCATTTCCCTTCAATGATCGAACAAATTGCTTCACCAGACGATCTCCATATGTCCCAGCATCGTTGCAAGTCTCAATGAAGTGAGCTATGTGTTGTTTCGGGCTGCATTTACCATCGAACTGTTGGAATTTAGGCGGTTGATATCAAATAGGCATCTTTAAGCTATCAATCCTTTGGGTGTATTGCTTCGAATAAGTCAAAGATGAATTAGAGCCTCCATCAAACTTGTCCTTGATGGTTCCCATCATGAATTCTTTGAGTTGGTCAGTTGGTATGAGTCCACTTGCAGAAACATGGATCTCTGACGAAGACTTCTCTTTTTCAGTTTGCTTCACCTCATCTTCTTTAGAAGTTTCTTCATCCTCATGTGTTTCATCTTGCTTGCCCCCAGCACGTCTAGTCTCAACTTTGTCGACCCTTTCTAGCAACTTTAAAATTGTGGAATCTTGTTCTTGGACATGTTTCATCAGCGACTCCATTATTTTTGCCATGGTTGCAAGTTGCTCTTCAATGGTTGATGCATTCATCATCATAACATGTGCCTCCATTGAGAAAGGTGTTGATGAAGCATCGTCTCTCAAATCTTCCTCTTGGTTCATCAAAGGCGGCCGATTTCCTTCAACTTGGTGAGAATTTCCTTCCGAAGATACACTCTTGTTTTTCGCCATGCTTCTTGTTACCACACCAATACTTTCACTTGCAGAACTTGAAGAAGTTGACTTGGGAGGAGTCATCGTTTCACTTAGATATCTTGAAGAAAATAGATGAGAGGTAGAGATTGTCCCACCGGGCGTGCCAGAAATTTGTAACGCAAAATTTCGTATTATTGAATTAATAAACACGAGAACTTCGTACAAATGATTTTCAACGGATCAAATGAAATATAGTGGATTACAAATCTCTATTATTCCTCTGATTAATTTCTTCAAGAACGATCTTCAAGTGGATATGAGACTTTTGGAGACGAATCTTCAGTTTGATCTCCGCCGGTCTTGAATTTGGATTTAAGTAACGTTTCTTCTAGGGCTTGACAGCTTGATCTCGAATCGAACGTTGTGATTTCCCAAGAACGTGATGAACACGATTCCTTGGTCTTCGCCGCAAAGTTGATTTTGATCTTCTTTACGTCGGTCTTAACTTCAATAACGTAATTCGGAGGCTTGGCAGCTTGTTTCCGGATTGAACGTTAGTTTTGGGCTTGAACGCGCTTGAATCTTCCTTCAGATCTTCAAGAACGCCTTTGGATCTTCAAAACACTTGAACTTGAATAACGCAATTCGGAGGCTTGGCAGCTTGTTTCCGGATTGAACGTCAGTCTTGGACTTGAACGCTCTTGAATCTTCCTTTGAATCTTCAAGAACGCCTTTGTATCTTCAAGAACTCTTGAATTTAATGACGCAATTCGGAGGCTTGGCAGCTTGTTTCCGGATTGAACGTCGGTTTTGGGCTTGAACGTGCTTGAATCTTCCTTCGGATCTTCAAGAAAGCGTTTGGATCTTCAAGAACACTTGAATCTCGTGGAGAGAATTCTCTAAAGCTCTTGAACTTGAATATGACTTGTGATCTTGAATATGAATTGTGATTTTTCACCTTAGGAAGAGTCCCTATTTATAGGTGTTGGGAGAGAGAGTCTTGGAAAAGAAGACTTCAATTTGATTGGTCCATAATTTCAAATATTTATCTCTTAATAATTATTTAAAGAGATAATTAGGAGAGAGAGTCTTGGAAAAGAAGACTTCAATTTGATTGGTCCATGAATTTCCACTCATTTATCTCTTTAATAATTATTAAAACAAATAAATATTTATTTTACTTTCCAAGAAAATGACATGTGGCATTCTTTAATTGGCCTTCAAAAATATACACGTGGCATTCTTTAATTGGCCAACAATGTATATATTAAATAATCAATTAATTAACTATTTAATTTAGGAATTAAAATTTTATTAATTTCCCAAATAAAATAGAAAATTATTAAATTGATTTTAACATGGAATTTGACACTTGCCGCCATTTTATTGGCTCAAAATTTAACGCCTACAGGGATCTTTGAGATGCCATCTTTTAATCCTGAAGTTCGTGTTTTATTAAATTTTCTGTTAAGAATAACTCAAGCTCTTAGGAATGTATGTTCATTTGAGGATCATAAATTTGAAGAATTCGTATGAATTTCAACACATAACAATTTGAGGGAAAAACCACCATTTTCATTAAGCAGCACTATCTCTGCTCAATGAAGACGAAGATACAAGTATTTAAACTAACCAGAGGTTAGTAATGTTCAGTGACCAATAAGCCAAGGACATATGGCTAATTAAACCTAACATAAAATGAAGAAGAAAACCAAATGCGTTTCTATAAGTGAACTACGGTTCAACTCTAACAAGCACAAAAATGCCACACATGAGAACACATATGTCTAGCGGTGGGATTTTAAAACCGTAAACTGGAAAACCGAGCCGAATCGTACCGAAATTACCCGGTTCGGTCCAGTTATTTGCTAAAAAAATTGCAATTTCTCGGTTCGGTTCTTTAGGCTAAAATTCGGTTCCCGGTTTTTGGTTATTAACAAGTGTTCGTACACTTAACCGAGGAACCGAACAATTACCCTATATATATTGTATAAGTGGACACTGGCCCAGTTTAAGTTTGTTTGAAACCCACTAAGAAATTAGTAAAGTTTCCCCAACCCAACTCAATGTTATTTACTTATTTTCATATTTCGTTTTTCCTCATTATTCATTATTTCATTAAATCCAAAATTTTCTCTCATTTCTCACATTCTCACTCTCTCTCTTAGAACTTCAACTAGTGTTGTTAAATTAAACGAGCCTGGCTCGGCTCGGCTCGTTAAGGCTCGGTTCGGCTCGAGTTTGAAGCCTTAACGAGTTGAGCTCGAGCTCATTTAATGCTCGTTTGGTAAATGAGCCAAGCTCGGCTCGGCTCGTTAAGCCTCGAAAATTAAAATTTATGTAATTTTTTATAATTCGGCTCGTTAAAGATCGAGATCGACTCGTTAAGGCTCGAGCTCGGGCTCAATTTTTGGCTCATTTACTTAACGAGCCGAGCTCGACTCGGCTCATTAAGATCTCGAGCTCAAACACCTTAAGCTCGAGCTCGGCTCGGCTCGTTTACAACCGTAACTTCAACAGAAAAAGAAAAACCCTAATCCCAAATTCTCAATTTCACTTTTTTCTTTCCATTTGACCATCCTTCACAAATCTTCAATCTTTTGTCATATTTCTTACTTCTTATGGCATCTTCTTCTGACAAAACAAGTGATTCCCAAAAATCAAACAAAGATCAAGATGAAATTGAAAATAAGAGCAAAAAGAAAAAAATTCAGAGTCAGAGGCTAATTTGAAAGAAAAAGCGGGCATGCGAGCAAACCGAGAGGTCCGATACCAAAAAGAAATCATGGGTGTGGAAGCATTTTCGGTGGTGAAGAAGCCACTGATGAGTAGAAACGAGGAGGGGATAATGATCCAAGTTGGCTTAACCAACCGAGCTCAATGCAGGTATTGTGAATCTAACTTGGCTTGTAATTCAACGAGAAATGGAACTAGTACACTTCAGAAGCATTTAGAACTGCATTGTGATGGTTATCCAGGTAGTGCAAGAAATAATGTTTCTGGTCAAAAACATTTTTCAAGAGATGTAGAGGGTAATGAATCGATTGTCACACACTGGACCCAAGAAAATTGCACTAAGTCAGTTGTTGAAATGATAATTATTGATGAATTGTCATTTAGTTCTATTGAGAAGTCGGGGTTAAAAGATTTTGTTCAGTTGTTGTGCCAAAATGGAAGATTTCTTATAGAAAAATTGTGGTGAAACATTTTATGAGCATGTATAATACCAAAAACGAGTGTTTGAAAGATGAGCTGAGGAATCATTGTGTTAGTTTGACCACTGATACATGAACCACAATTCAAAACATAAATTACATGGTAGTTACAACACGCTTCATTGATAGCAACTGGCATATGCATAAGAGGGTGTTGAACTTCTGTGTATTCCTAATCATCAAGGAATTACTATAGGGAAGATTTTAAAAAAATGTTTGCAGGACTAGTTTATCAAGAAGATTTTAACTATTTTTATTGATAATGCATCTGCAAACAAAGTGGCAATAGATTACATGAGAAGAAAACTAGGCAATGGTGAAAATTAACTGATTCTAGGGGGAAAAGTTTCTTCATATGAGGTGCTTAGCTCATGTTGTCAATCTTATTGTCAAATCTGCCCTTAAATGCATGGATTAGTCAATTTCTTCTATTAGAAATGCTGTAAAATATGTGAGAAGTTCACCTGCAAGGTTAGAAACCATTAAAGAATGTGTTAAAAAAGAAGAACTTCAGAGTAGAAAGGTGTGTGTTTTGGATGTGCCAACTAGGTGGAATTCCACCTTTGTTATGCTTGAAACTGCTATTGAACTTAGACAAGCATTTGATATATTGGCTGAAGAAGAAGACACTAAGTATAAAAGTTATTTTGATGAGGATGATGAGGAAAATGAGGAAGATGGAGAAGATGTTCTAGGGATTGAGTTTGGAAATGAACCTGTGGAACCTATAGCGGGTCAAGGGACTGATATAATTAGAAGAAAGAAAGATAAAGAAGTGAGAGGGAAGAAAGTGGGGCCTCCAACTGATGATGATTGGGAAAAAGTTGCTGCATTTGTGAAGTTTATGAGAGTGTTTTTTGATGTCACTTTGAATATTAGTGCTTCAAGCAAACCTACTGCTCGCAAACCATTTAATGATATTGTTTCATTAAAATGTGAGATTGAAGAGATTTTTGATGCCCCAATCACAAACCACAACACAAATTATGAGAAAACATTGTTCAACATGTCAGTCCAAATGAGGAGCAAGTACAACAAGTACTTTGATTCACTAGATGATGTGAATGAGCTCATGTTTGTAACTTTGGTGCTAGACTCTAGGTTCAAGCTAAGGTATTTCACTAGGGTCCTTGAGAGGATGTTGAATTATGATGTCTTTACTGTAAAGGTAAGGAAAAGAAGGTTGAAAGAGTTGATTGTTACTCTCACTGACTTGTATGCTTCAATGAATGTTGTTCAAAGTTCTAGCACAAAAAAGGCAGATGGTGATGAAACTGGGAGTGGAAGCAGGTACTTGTTTGTTGAAAGAGTTTACTTTTCAGTTTTCTGTTTTTATTTCAGAGTTAGTTAGTTCTTTTATCTTGTTTCTCAGTTTTTGTCTTTCTGATTTCATTTACTTTTGTTATTTTATATTGTAGTTGTTCTTCAAACAAACTGACAGAGAAGAAAGCAAAAATGATGGAAGATTGGAAAAAAGACCTTGAAGATGTTGATGTTGTTATAGTTGCTCATGAGATTGACAGATACCTACTTGATCCAATTGAGAAACTAGGTCCAGGAGTTGATTTTATATTTTGTCATGGTGGAAGCTAATGAGAGGTAAGTATCCTAATTTGCAAGCACTTGCTAAAGATGTGCTAGCTATTCAAGTTAGTATTATTGCTTCTGAGTGAAGTTTTAGCACTGGAAAAAGAGTTATTGATCCTCATAGGAGTTCATTAACTCCTAGATCAGTGGAAACACTGATTTGTCTTCAAAGTTGGCTTAAGTCTGATTCAATCACAACCCTTGCATACACTCCTACCCCAGATGAAATTGAATGGCTTGAAAAAACTGAACAAGGTAAGTTATAAAACTTTATTTGACATGTGTAATTTGTTCAGTCATCTGATTAGTGTCACTGATTATCCCCCTCATTTTTTTTTTTTTTTCTTCCTGGTTTGGTAGAATTGGACCAAGAGTAGAGAGAGTATGGAAAGAAGTTGGAGAAACAGAAGGAAATGAAGTTGATTAAGAAGAAAAATAAAGCTGCAAAAGCCTCCAAAGGCTCTGATGCTGGAACTTCTTCTAAAATGAAAATTTGAAATGTAATATGCCATTCAGCTTTTGAGTTTTGAACTTTGATTTGGAAGTTTGAACATTGAACTATGTAACTGATATGTTATTAACTTATTATGTTTATGGTTTGTTGTGGGCCTGTGGCTATTTGGAACTGTGGAGTGTGGATTATGATTGTGACTGTGGACTCGGGACTGAAATGTGAAATGTGGATTATGGATTATTGATTTGACATGGATTGTGGACTTTGGCAACTTGGTTTTGTAATTACTAATTTCAGTAATTTTTATTTTGGATTTGATGATTGATGACTTGATGTGGTATTGTGGTTCATGAACCATGATGATAACTTGTAGTTTTGTGCTAAAGCTTGTAAGTTGAATCAATACATGGTGCTTATTTTTATTTTGTAATTTGTGTTGATATATTATGATTGATGACAGTGGTTCATTATACAGTTATAAGCTTGTTAACAGGTTCATATTTCATAACAGCTCAAGAATAACCAGTTTCTACAACAATAACTAGTTTGATACCCAGTCATTAACGGTTTTAGCATTGCATCAGAGAACCGAAGGAACCAGATCGAAAATGGCCGATTCGGTTTTTTCGGTTCTTGATAAAAATTAAAGAGTAATCGAACCGAAAATTTACACATACTTTAAATTTTGGTTCTTAAAATTTTGAAAGATAACTGGACCGGTCCTACCCCTACATATGTCAACACCGCCCCCTCAAGCTGGAATGTGGAGGAAGAAGACACATGCCTAGCTTGCCCAAGAAAGTAGCAAAATCACGACTCCCAAGTGCTTTAGCGAACAAATCTGCAGTTTGAGAGGAAGAAGAGATGTGCATTGGATTGATTAACCCTTCCTTGAATTTATTGCGAACCACCTGACAATCGATATCCAATTTTTAGTATGCTCATGGAACACCGGGTTGGCCGTGATATGTAATGTCGCTCGATTGTCACACCATAAGGTTGTAGGCAGTGAAACTGGAAGAGCAAAATCATTGGCCATACCAATTGCAACTCACAAACAGTAGTAGCCATTGAATGGTATTCAGCTTCTGGCCGACGGTCGAGAGACGATTTCTATTTCTTGGTTTTCTAGAAAATCAATGCTTGACCAAAAAAGATGCAGTAACCAGTGAGTGATTTGCGAGTGATATTGCAGCTACCCTAGTCTGGATCACAATAGGCTTCAAGATGTGTAGAAGGTTTGGCTGTATTGACAAGCCCTAAGGTAGGGCATGTTTTAAGATATCTAATAAAATGTAATGCATCAAACCATTGAGCAAGAGTATGGGCTTGAATGAATTGGCTCAATTATTGCACATCATATGAAATATTAGACTGTGATAGATTCAGGTATAACAACCTGTCAACTAGTCTCATGTACTTCCCTTCATCCTCTAATTAAGCATTATTACCAGCATACAAGTTCAAACCTTGAGGAAAAAGAAGTGACAACAGGTTTAGAGTCTTGTAAGCACAAGTCTTTGATGATGCCTTGAATGTATTTGTTTGACTGACATATGTTCTTGATGAATCTCTATATATCTCCAACCCTAAAAAATATTTTGCTGATCCCAAATCTTTAATTGAGAACAATCCATGCTAGTACCTTTTAAGGTGATTGATATCTTCCACATCACGTCCCACAATTAGAACATCATTCACATATAACTAAAAGAGCCAAAAACTGAGTATATGTCCTTTTGATGATTAGAAAATTATCATGAGTGGACTGTGTGAACCAAACGCAAGTAGCGTGTCAAACGTTCTATGTTTCTTTGTCTAGAAACTTGCTTCAAACCATATAGACTTCTCTTAAGTTTACACACCAATTCAGGTTTCCCTTTATCATACTCCTTTGATTGTGTCATGTACACTTCTTCATCCATATACCCATGGAGGAATGCATTATTGATGTTAATGTGATGCATTTCCCATTGTTGTTGAGTGGCCAAAGCAATGAGGAACCTGACTGAGACTAACTTTGCTACTGGGGAGAAACTTTCCATAAAATCAGTACCTTCTTTTTGCAAGTACCCCATAGCTAGAAGCCTTGCCTTATATTTGTCTACACTTCCATCATGATTCTTTTTTATTTTATTAGACCCACTTTGAGCCTATAGCTTTCTTACCTTGAGGTAATTTTGTCAGTATTCAAGTGTCATTAAGTTCCAATGCGTTCATTTCTTTGTTCATTGCATCCACCCACTTAGCATTTTTGACTGTCTGTTTATAGAATATTGGTTCCCTTTCTGATTTGTCGATTTCTGTGAAGAAAGATCCTATATCTTCTTTATAGTTGTTGAAAGGTGATGCATGCAAAACATAATATGATAACCAACCAGGTGCTCTGACTTTTCTTCCCTCTCTGGTAACCTTATCTACTTTAGCATCTGGTCTGGTAATGCTGATGGAGTATTCTCATTTTCAACACAAATTGTTTCTTCTAGAATGTTCGCTGAAATAATATGTAGAGGGATTGAGTTATCCAATTCATGCTCAGTATGAAATGGCAATACATCCTCATGGAAGACCACATCCCTTGAGATAAAAACCTCATTGGTTTTCAGATCATAAACTCTGAATCCCTTAACTCCTGCAACATATCCAAGAAAAACACAAGCAGTACCTCTAACATCAAATTTTTTCCTATAAGGTTCATTCTTTAGCGCATAGCATAGAACACAAATGTTTTGAACCTTTCATAAGCTGGTTTCTTGTCATGTAACAATTTATAAGGTGAATTCCAACGCAAAACTTCACTGGCAAAAACTTGATAATGTGAACTGCAGTCAACAATGAATATGGCTAGAATTTCTTGTTGATTTTAGCTTGAAAAAATAAACATCTTGCTATTTCAAGGATAGACATGTATTTTCTCTCCACCACCCCGTTTTGCGGTTGGGTGTATGGACAACTGCTTTGACGCATTATGCCATTGACTTTTAGGATTCTTTGCATTTCTTCACCAATAAATTATGACCCATTGTTAGACCTCAATTGTTTGACAGGAACACCAAACTGTACTTTGACCATTTTAAAAAAGAACCTCAAATGAGTGTACACTTCAGACTTATACTTCATTAAGAAGATCTATGTAGCTCTAGTAAAGTCATCCACAACAGTCAACATATAAGATGTATTTGTAAGTGATTCCTCATTGTAAGGCCCCCATATATCAACATGTATGAGTTCAAATTCATCCTTACTTTGAATAATCCTCAAAGAAAATGAGATCCTACATTGTTTGGCTTTATAACAGGCATCATAAGCATGCAATGTTTGCTTATTACAACAACTTTTCAGAAATTCAATGTGTTTCATACAAGACAATGAAGAATGCCCAAGTCTTCTATGCCACAACTCCATTTTTTTTTTCTTTTTCTTTTCAAAGTCCACCTCAGAAACCACATTAGAACAAAACTTTCTTACTTCAATATGTACAGTCCTCCAAGTGATATGCCATACATGAGTATTTTCCCAGACTTATGGTCCAACAACCAACACTCTTTATTAGTAAAAGTGAAACTCATGCATCCATCCCGGATAAGATGTCCTACAGATAACATGTTAAACTTAAACTCTAGTATACCAAGTACATCCTTTAAGATCAAACCTTCTCTTAGTAACACATCACTAGTTCTCATAACAACAACCCTTGTCCCATCGGGTAAGTTAACATTTATAGCCAATGAAACATCACAAACAGTTTTCACCATGTTAAGATTGGAGCATATGCGTCTACTTGCTCCTGTATCAACAATCTTTCCATCCATGTCCAAGTTATTCAATAATGAGAGAGCATAATTTTCTTCCATACCTGAATAATCCATAAAGTGATAGAAGGAGAGAGATTCGACTGCTCCTTGTTGGCCTGAGAGAAATTTAGCTATCTCCTTTTGAATCAAAGAGCTGAAGTCTAGAATAGCTTCACCAATGTGAGATTTAGCATCATTATCAACCTTGTCAATCTCTCATGCTTCTATCATGTTGATTATAGACCCTTGCTGCCTTTGTTCTTTCTACTCCTTGTACCAATCAGGATAGCCATGTATTTTGAAGCATCCTTGTAAATCATGGCCATTGAACCCACAACCACAATACAATTTTTCTCTTTATCTTTTGTTAACCTAATATTCCCTCTTTATCTTTTTATACTTATTTCTGACTGCATAGATGAACCTCTAACAGAATTACCTCTTCTAAAACCTCCATTTCCATCTCCTCCTCTGCCAAATGAGCCTCTCACCGTCAGTGCTGGAGACTCTAAAGGATCTAAAGCAACAAAATTCATAGATTTCTGCTTTTCCACCTTCAGAATCATTGAATGTGCCTTATTTACAGTGCATAAGGGATCCATGAGAAAGATTTGATTTTTGATTGGTTCAAACACCTCGTTCAACCCTACCAAAAACTGCATCAACCTTATCACCATATCATTTTCAGCAAAGCTTTCCCGAAGCCAGAGACACATTCAAGAATAGAGGCTAAGCACGGATTTTCATCCCATAGGCAT